TCTCTGCGGTTCGGAGAGTGCCGCCTCTGTGGGCGGGGGAGGGGAGCAGGGTTCTGCGCTTCCCTCCCTTCTAGTCCTCTTTTATGGCAACTTTCTTCTTCGGGCAGTTTGCTGGAGTCGTCGGTTTATCTTCCGTGTCCCAGTTCTCTCTGGGACCTGCCGCTTTTCCTCCCTATTAACTTTTTTTTAATGGGAGATCTTACTCGCAGCGTCTCCTCGCCGCCATGTTGCTCTGCCCTCTCAGGGTTTCTTTTATTCCCTGTCTTTTTTAATAAGAAAGAGGCCATGAAGTCAAATGCTATTTAGTTTAGGTAATATGCTTTTTCTTTTAATAATTTGTTAAATAAGGAGACAATTTTTATTTATCAGAGAATAGGGTTTATTCATTTGCCACCATTATATTTGTGTCACTTTATTGAATCAAAGCCTGATAAGAGTGTGAATTCACAGAAGTCTGTCCTTAAACCCCATAAGTCTGTCTCAGCAGTAATTTCTGAAGCCAACAATACTTCTTAGATGAGTGATGAGTCTACTAGGAGTGAAGATTCTATTTAAACATTCAACTTTGAAAAATATTGTAGTTCATGTTCTCAGAAATATTCTTTAGTTTCTGATACTTTCACTTTTGGATTTTATAAAATTACATTATTATTTTCCCAATAATAGACAATTGTTTTTATGTAAATTCTCTTATCTTTTATGACAATTCATGAAGCAAAGCACTTATCAAGATAATTAAACTATTATGTCTCATTGTAACCATTCTAATGGTTAATATAATTTAATATAAGGAAGTTCTTAGATTTTACCCAATAATGGTATACACTTAAACATTAACATTATATTTAGACTCTTCTTGCACTGTTTTCTCTCCAGATGACCACATTCATATTCATGCCTGTATCTTCTACTTGTATGGTAATGACTTTCAAGTCTATATCCCTTTCATAACATTTCTGGACAAACCTCCATTAGTGCACTTACTATTTACGGTTCTGTAATTTCTGATTTTCTTGCCTGTTTCTGTAAGGTCTGTAAAGTCCTTGAAGCAGGTATTGCATTCAGTATTTTTCTGGCAGCCAAGTATAATGCACACGTAGATTATTTTAATCCTATTGATGCTTGGTTTTAGGTTTTGTGAGTACTGTTCTATTTCAGATTTGTTTTTCTAGAATTTCATCCTTTTGGTATCTCAGTTTAAGCCTAACATATATCCCCGGGCAGTTTCGCCTTCACTGGCCTTGAACTCTTAACCTGTCTGCCAGTGCTGAACTGCTGGCTTCTGAACTGTTGGCTTAGCTGTAGGACTATTGAACTATTGCTATATGCTAGGTTTTTGAAATCTCTTTGTTTGTACAGTTTGTACTCATCTAAGATAGATCATGAAAAAGAAGAACATTTGAATCCCAAACTTAGTAGAAGGAAGGAAATCACAGATTAAAGTGGGGTCTCCCCGGTGGCGCAGTGGTTGAGCACTGGGTTGCGAAGCTGCCCGCAGCCTCTGCAGTACCGGTTCGATCCCTGGCTGCTCCCCAGCCACCGGAGGAGGGTCCCGCATGGCGCACAGACCTCTCCTGCCGCCCGCTGCTCCCCTCAGCAGTGTACTTCGGTCCTTCTGCCTGCTCTGCTCCCTGCTCTGGCTCTGGTGAATTCTCTCACCCTCCCACGCTTCTGACTGTACCCAGTGCTTGTATAAATAAATAAATAAATAAATAAATAAATAAATAAATAAATCTTTAAAAAAAAAAAGTAAATGACAGAAAAGATCTCTTTAAAAAAAAACAGATTAAAGTGGAAATAAGTAAAACAGAGACTAAAAGCACAATAGAAAGGTTTAATGAAATCTAAGAGTTGGGTTTTTTAATCAAGCTTTTTTTGATATGTCATTCACAAAATATATAAATTTGGGAGTACAACATGTCACCTCAATATGTACACATGCTTCACTTTCCCTCCTCCAAAGCTTCAGTGTCAGTACACTGTCATCTTACCCCTTCTAAGCTCTCCTTCCTCCTCTCTTTCCTGCTGGTACTCACCATAGTTTTCAGAGTCTATGAGCTATTTTTGTTGTGTTTTGCTGGTTTGTTTTTTTTGGTTAATTATATTCCACAAGTGAGAGAAACCATCCAGTAATTATCTTTCACTTCATACTCGCTTTTATTTCACTTAGCATAACCACCTTTTTTTTATTTGACTTTTTTTTTTTAATTTTATAGAGGCATGTTTATTTATTTATTTATTTATTTGTTTGTTTTGTTTATACAAGCACTGGGTACAGTCAGAAGCGCGGGAGGGTGAGAGAATTCACCAGACCCAGAGCGGGGAGCAGAGCAGGCAGAAGGACCGAAGTACACTGCTGAGGGGAGCAGCGGGAGGCAGGAGAGGTCTGCGCGCCATGCGGGACCCTCCTCTGGTGGCTGGGGAGCAGCCGGGGATCGAACCGGCGCTGCAGAGGCTGCGGGCAGCTTCGCAACCCAGCGCTCAACCGCTGCGCTACCGGGGAGGCCCAGCATAACCACCTTAAGGTCTATCCATATTGTCCCCAAAGTCACTATTTCATCTTTTTAATAGCTGAGTAGTATTCCATGGAATGAGTGTGTGTGTGTGTGTGTGTTTGTGTGTGTGTGTGTAGACACTTAAACATATACATATATACCACAATTTTTCTTATCTAATCGTTGGTCAGTGGGCATTTAGGTAGAATTCTATGTCTTGTCTATGGTGAATAATGCAGCTGTAAACTTAGGGGTGCTATGAACATATTAGTGTCTTCATATTCTTTGGATAAATACCTAGTGTGGTGTTGCTGAATCATACAATATTTCCATTTTTGGTTTTTAAAGAAATCTTCGTACTGTTTTCCATAGAGGTTGTACTAACTTAATTCCCACCAACAATGAGTGAGTGTTTCTTTTTTCCCACACTCTTAGCAACAAATGTCATTTGCAGGATTTTTGATGTAGGTCATTTTAAGAACAAATTCTTTTAAGAGATAAACATATTTGATAAATCCTTACTTAGACTCACCATGAAAAGAAGTGAGAGTATTCAGATAAATGAATCATATATGAAAGTGAAGACATTACAACTGATACAATAGAAATCAAATAATCAATAGAGACTGTCATGAACAATTATATGCTAACAAATAGGACAAACCATAATATAAGAAATAGATAAATTCCTAAAAATATACAGCCTACCAAGTCTGAATCATGGAGAAATAGAAGATTGGAACAGTGTGATTACTATTAAGGAGATTGAATAGTAATCAAAAACCTTCCAACAAACAAATGCCCAGAACCAGATGACTTCACTGGTGTATCCTACCAGATATTCAAAGAATTAATACCAACCTTTCTTAAACTCTTCCAGAAAATAGAAGAATTCTTCCAAACTCCTTGTACAAGGCCATTACTTTCCTGATAATAAAATCAGATATGGGAGCTCAGAGACCAGGAAAAAGACTAATCAATACAACGTAAAAATCAAAATCAACAAGCAACTATAAGCCAGAGATACACTACTGGGGGGGGGGGGGAAGGAAGGCCTAGAGTCAAAATAAGGGGGGGGGTGCAATTGTGTGGGGAATATAACCAAAATGAAAATGCATGCATTGTGCAAAGATGAAAAAAGATGTAAGAATTATATAAAATATTTAAGCAAAAAAAAATAAAGTTACTTTTCATCTGCAAAAAATAAAATAAAATCAGATACCACAAGACACCACAAGAAAATAAAATTATAGGCCAGTGTTTCTGGTGTACATAGAAGCAGAAATTCACCATAAAATATTAGCAAAACAAATTCAATAATACATTAAAAATAAAAGAGCACACACCATGATCAAGTAAAATTTATTCCAGAGATTGAAGGGTGATTCAGTATCAACAAATCAGTGTCATACACTACATTAACAAAATGAAGGTTAAAAATCATATGATAATCTGATTGAATGCCAAAAAAATTGACAGAATTCAACATCCATTTGTTAAAAACTCATCAAAGTGGGCATAGAGGGAATTGACCTTAACATAAAAGCTGAAAACAAGAATAACCAGTGTTTGCGAGGATATGGAGGAAAGGGAACCTTGGTGCATTGTTGTTTAGGAATGTAAGTTGTTGCAGCTGCAATGGAAAATAATGTGGAGGTTCTTCAGAAAGTTAAAAATAGAACTTTATGATCAAGCAATTCTACTTCAAGATATTTAGCTGAAGAAAATGTAAACACTAACTCAAAAAGATATACACAACTCCATGTTCATTGCAACTTTTATTTACAATGACCAACATGCAGAAATATATTTATAATAACTAACAAAGGTATTCATTGATTGATGAATGGATAAAGAAAATGTGGTGCACACAAGTGTGCACACACATATGTACACACAATGAATACTGTTTAGCCATAAAAGAAATAAATTTTGCCATTTGAAGCAACGTGGATTGATCTTGAGGGCAATATACTAAGTGAAATAAATCAGACAAGGAAAGAAATATTCTATGGGGAGCTTAAAACAGACCAGAAAATCCAGCCAGATACAGAGAACAGACTGGTGGTTGCCAGAGATGGTTGTGGGTAGGTGAATTGGTAAAAGGGGTCAAAAGGTACAAGCTTCCAGTTATAAAATAAGTCATGGGGAAGAAATGTGCAGTTAGTGACTGCATATTTGCTGGTTGCTAAGGAATAGATCCAAAAAATTCTCATCACAGGAAAAAATCATTTTTTGACTCTATATGGTGACAGATGTTAACTAGACTTATTGTAGTGATCATTTTGCAGTATACACAAGTGCTGAATCATTCTCTTGTACATTTGTAACTAATGTAATATTAAATGTCAATTATGTCAATAAAAATTAAATGTCAATTATGTCAATAAAAAATTAAATGTCAATTATGTCAATAAAAATGCATTTTGAATCTTTTTTATTTCTTAGTTTTGAGAAACAGAAAACAACTATATTTAAATTCAAAACTGAACTTTTTTCCCCCAGATATCCATGATGATTACAGAGAGTTCTACTACATTTTTTGCTCCTATTGAGGATGCTTTGAGTCGGATGCTGTTTGGCAGGCAGCAACACTTTACATCACCTGAAAAGAAAAGTGAAACCAAATCATCTTTCAATGGTACTGGTTCATCGACTTCAAAAGCTGCAGCCGATGCTTCAGATAAGGTTAAAAAGAAACATACGAAGAAGACTGAGTAAATTTATTTGATGAACTCTATATGGCAAATTTTTCTCTTATCTACCTGTCAGATTGTGATAATTATTTCTGTGTAAATGATGTGAAATAAAGATTATCTATAAGGAATGGAGGTGACAAAAAAGAAAGAACTTCTTTCTGTTTCAGGGAGACTATCCCTTCTGGATTGTAATTCTTGAGTGTTAGGAGGTATCATGTGAAATTGTTTCTTTAACTTATATATAAAAGATTCTATTGTGATTATTTTTATAGTTTTATATTGACAAAAATATATCTAGAGGCTAGATTTTTTTTTGATGTTAGAGAAACTATTGTCATTGCAAAATTATAATAGTTAAAGACTTCTTGTTTTACTTAGATATTTTCATATATTTTATTTAAATCTATTTAAATTTTAGTTCAGGTCAGGAAATCATACTTTTATTTATCATTACCATTATTATTCCTAAAAATGGAAAAGAATACCTGTTTAATTTAGAGCCCTGGGAAGAATAAATTTTACCTAAATTAGTTTATATTATGAATGAAATTACTAGTGTATATTTCATATATGAACGTCGTATTTTTTGTCCACATTAAATGGAAATATTTGAAATTTAATTTTTTCTAGTAGTTTTTTCTGTGAGAACAGAGCCTCACAGATTGATTTTAAGTCTATTTCATGCCCTGTTTATACAGTTTCTTCTTTTTCCAAAGAAAACCAGGGGTGTTATTTTTACTAAATTGCTAAACTCTTCTTATGTGTTGTAAGCTTTATTTGAGGAGCTTGCTCCCCCTCACTCGTTAAAACACATTTGTTTTAACTGTAGAAAAGATTATTCTTCTCAGTATTTTATATATTCTTAACTCTTTCTGATCCTAGTTGGTGTGAATACATCAATGATAGTATTGTGATTGATTAAACAAAAGTATTATTTCAATTAAAAAATACCTCTTTACATCTCCTTTCTAATGGTACTTTTCAGTTTTCTTGTTGAATGTGTAATACTAGTTTGCATATATTTATATTTTAATCTATGTGTACATATAGTATTAATTTTATTTTAAATGAAAACTAATTACCCTTGTTTGAAAATGCTCAACTAATGAGAATTCTCCAGAAACTAAAATAGATGATAGTCCATTTGAAGAAAGAATGATGACATTAAGTCTGGTTCCTTACTGGCAAAAAAAAAAAAAAAGAAAAAAAAAAAAAGAAAAAAGGAAAAAAAGAAAGAAACAAGGTATTAAATAATTTTAGATTTTGTTTTATTTTATATTTTAAAAGTCTGGTTATAACTATAAAATTCTCTGACTAACATGATTTCTTCTACCAAGGTCATGAACTTGCTACCTGTAAAGAG